TCCTTTATACATCCATTATGTACACATTTTTACTTTGACTTCTTATCTTTATACCAATATGTTTATTCTATATAGTTTAATTTGCATAATTCTGATACAATTAACAGTCAGACTTTTTGGTTACATTTTAACCTGCCTTACGGCCCCGTCCACACGGCGGCGTGCGTTGAAGCTTCAACACTTCTGCCCATTCACTTTGAATGGTGTGACGTCACGCTTGGCCGAACTGCATTGTGGTTCCGTCGCTTCGCTTTGCTCGCTTCAAAAGTTGAGCAATGTTCAACTTTTGAAGCTTTGACGGAAACGTCAGCCAATCAAATCATATGCCAGTACAAACTCTAGCCAATCAAACCGCGTGCTTGTGTGTCCGGGGCGGGAGATTCATGTGATTGGTTGTTGGTCGAGTTTCAGACACGCCCGCCGGCAAGTTTCAACGCACGCCGCCGTGTGGACGCTGCGTTACTTACTCCAGCTGTTCTTGGGCAATGATGAGTCATTAGCAACATTACATGTGCGTTTACATTTGGTTTTACATTTATTAACAATAAGTAACTAATCTGGCAAAACATTTAGCTTGTAAAGGAAATATCAATGTTATCTGAAACACAGACCTGTTAGCCACAGCTACAGAAGTATAACCTAAAAGTTCTTTAGAAGTTGTGATGATAAACAATATGTTTGCCCTCTCAGTGAGCCTGTGATGTGAGACGAAAGAATCCAAAGGTCTGATGTTGTTTAGTTCAGCGCCCTCTGGAAGGAGCACTTACTCACCTCAGTTAGACAGTTTGGGCTTGATTTGTTCACTCCTTGCAGCAAAGAGGGCGATGTGTTGTCGTTCTCTGCTGCAGACTCAGGTTGTTGAGGCCTTAAGGGTCAATGTGATCAAACCACAGCTATGGACAGTAGCATATCTTTAGACCCTGAAACAATCGATGTAAACACGTCTTTGAAAAGGGTTGCTCAACATGAACTGAATTATAGTTGCGCCTCTATAGCCTCACTTGAAAAAAAAGTAGGTTTAGTAATGCCCTGTTAAAGCAGAAACTTGAAGTCTTTCATCATTTTTCACTTCCTTCCAGTCATTCATGTTCTCTCTGTCCATGCTGGCTCTCACGTCGCCCCTGATGTCTGCCGTTGTCAATTCTTTATTAGATACAAATAGCTCTTAACCGATCAAACACGCTCCATCAAATGATCTCTGTCACATTCTGAGTTCCCCCGGGGAAATGTTTCAGTCGCTTTATGAAGTTGGTTATTTCTTTTCATGTACCATTTAAACCCCCCCCCCCTTTCATACATCAATACCAGTGACGGGTTATGTTCATGACAAGAGGAATTTCCCTCAGTGCAGGCCATCACAAGACATTTTTTATCATTAATCAATGAAAGAGACATTTAAAGGAATGGGCTCGTGTTTGCTTTTCGTTAAAAAAGAAAGACTGATTGGCTCATTACTGAATGTTTGAACCTGCTAACCTGTTTTTTAAAGGTCCCATGTCATGGCCATTTCTACTGATCATATTTCCTTTGTTGAGGTCTACTAGAATAGATTTATATTGAGCAATTTTCCAAACTCACATTGGTTTCCCATACAGCATCTCTGTATAGTATGCGTATTCACTCTCTGTCCTAAACGGCTTGTTGGAGCTCCTGCCGCCCCCCCCCCCCTGTGAATCCAGTGGCCGCCTGTGAGACAGCGAGACACATCGAAACCCAGCCCGAAACACACACACATCCGCAGCCTGGCTGGGAGTTTGTGTGTGTGCCCAGGCTGAGTTCCGCGCTGTCTCAGCGATACAGCCGGGGGAGAACAGCGAAACTCATCCGGGGAGCCACAAAACACTCACAGCCGAAGTAAAAACAATAAGTGTGGCCCTTGACTATTTTAGCTAAGAAAGGTTTATAACGCTGTGAGAATGGCGTCTGCGGAGAGCCATTTCTCCACCATCGCCACTCGTTCTATTACCAGCGTTTCAGGAGCTCTATTCAAGTCAATGGGGACTCCCTGTTAAGTTAGCCAAGGGATCCTGGCTGTGTGAGGTGCTCCGCGGAATTGGTCCATTTGGGGCCAATCCGGTCATTTGCTTGTTGATTTGGGTGTGATGCACACGTCACAGAACCCAGGAAGCAAACAATGGACAAAGAGAAATCTCCAACGAAGGCGTTCTGGGGGCAGCATCGACAGGTCTTTCCTTTTTACTCGCCTAACAGGTTGTACTTTTGAGGGTTTTTTACTCTTGGCAGACCGTTTTACATGGCAGAAAAACCGTCATAACACACCAAGGGGAGGGGTAATAACCGGAAACGCATGACATGGGCCTTTACTTTGTTGGTGCTGAGTTACATTTTGAAATTTGATTGGATTATTCTAACAAAAAAGGAGCCATCACTCAAAGCTAAAAAGGAGTATAAAATCCTTCAAAGCTATTGATATTTCAATGGTGCAAATGGTAGTGGGCATAGCCACATTGATCACTTGTAACATATGAAACAAATCTGATGCATAGGCTCGGCAATAACACTGACTCTCATGGAGATGATGATGGTTCAACTTCTGTCCAATCTGTCTACGCAGGAACAACACTGTTTGCTTCTTTAAGGTCATAATTATGGGTTGTTGCATTACATCGTAAGGTGTTTTTGGTCCACAAGGGTTGTAGCTGGCTTTCTTAAATTTTATGAAGTGGTTCCTTTTGGGTATCACACGAAAAAGGTATTACCTAAATACATATTTATTCAAATAAATACAACATGGCATGTATTTTATAAAGTAACAGTGTTTGCTAACGCAGTTAACAACCTTGATTTATGTTTCCTGCAGGAGGACACCAATTATCACAATCAGATTATTTCTTATATTAAGGTGTATATTATAAAACTGAGAGACATGCAAATAAAAAACAAAACTTTGAATGAGCTGCTGATTAAAATCCATACTTTTCTAGCCACTATGTGTGCTTGTAAATAGTTTTTGGAATCAGATTTTCATCAGGGTTATATTTGGGATGGTTTGGTTGTGTAACCACCAGTTTATGTAATCCAAATCAAATCAAACAGTTAAACCTTCAATGGATTTATTTTAAAGTGGACCCTATCATGCTATATTTGAAATTAATATAGTGTAAGGACCATACCTTATATAAGGCATATTTATACTTTTTATTTTTCAAAAATACCAAACAGATTATGCATTTTAGCCATTCCTCCATTTCGCTCAATTTAACACTGTCTTTGCATCTACAGGCATGGCATATGTACTACAGCCTCTCCAGCGCTTTCCAACGGCAATGTCCGTGGCTGTCTCCTCCTGATTGGTGGAGTTGGCCCAATAGCCGTAGCGCCACTTCTGTGACGTCATAGAAGTGTTCAAATCTGGATCAGTCTGTATCAGATCTGTTGCAGCCCCTTTTTAAGAGATTTGGGTATGGAGGAAAATAGAGAGGGTTGTGTTTTCTGACACTTGGTGAGTTCCCTGGAACACCGGGGACACATATTCATGTATAAAAGACGTACAAAAGTGCATTTTGCATGATAGGTCACTTTTAAGCAACTCAATATCAAGACAAACTACTGTATAGAGTTGGATCAGCTCTCCACTAACAGTATAGTCATCCACATTTCTAGTTGTACTCCACTCCGAAAAAACGGCTGTTATTAATCCTCTAATTTTGATGTAATCCTGGCAGTGATTTGCCCGGGTTTAAGCAGGGTTTCATTGGGCCAAATGAGAGATTAAAAGACTTAACTTGGAGCTCTCGCTGAAAAGAATATGAGTCGTCTCACGGCTCAGAGTGATTGGCCTGGATCTATCAGGCCTGTAGAGTTCACACAACAAGAGGACCAAGCATCAGAAATGAGTGAGCAGGTTAAAGAAGCATCCAGAAGCCGTCGGTACCGGCCCACCAGGGTTACGCTGTAATTAAAGGCGATCTCATCCAGATTCTCCGGGCTGTGGCGAGCTAACACTGGACCGGCTCTTTCATTAGGTTTTGCATTTCATGCCCTCAGGAGCAGAACAAATTGAGCCTCTGTTTCCTTTTGCTCATTACCCAAGAGAAAGATTAAAAGGCATTTTCTCACACAGGCAGCGTTGCATAATACCACAGAAGTGTACACTGTAGTCTCATCAAAACACACAAAAGGCAGCCATAGCCGCGCTAACCTCTAACTAACCAACCCTGGATTTGATTTGTGGCAATGTTTTCTCTCAGTAATAAGTAGAAATCAACCAAAGATCTCATCATTACAAGAAACATTTCTTTTGAGGTATTGCTGGAATTCCAAATTGGTAATGGTGGAGGTCGAGGGCTATGTTTCTCCACAGAGAGCCTCTCTGGCAGTGCAGGCATTTGTATGCATGTTACTTTCTTTCATCAAAAATAATGCACTTCTGGGCTTTTACAACAATGTGAAGGGCCTAGCTTGTTTTAAACTATTCCAACTTCTAGACACAAAGCGGCGTACTGTACATGAGGTTTCAGCAGTCCTCAGACCAGCATTAGTGCCTCCAGATAGTGCTTCTGCTTTACTGTTAGCTAAACAATGATGTTTATGTGTGGTGGTGAACCAAGAATCCTCTGAGAGACACAATAAAGAAAGTATAACTTCCACTATAGCGCTATTACATAAATTATGCAAACTATTTGCCGAACATTTAACTTAATTCCTTCCCATTACGTTGCAAATTGCAATATTTGTGCTGGCTCAGTGCATCTTTAACTAAAAACACATCTGCCTGTACAGCACAACAGCAGCTAATTGAGACAGCGTTTTGTTCTTTATTCATGTTTTCAGGCTTCATTAGGAGAAACATGTACATGATTGCATTGTAAAGCATCTCAGTGGGTTTATTTCTATGAATTATGAGCTGTTTCAAGCAACAGAATGCACTTTATTACTAACTTGTGTTAAAAGTTTTACAGTAAACTTTTCACTTTTCCTAGAATCCGTGTCCTTAAGCCGAACTGTCTGATATTGTGTTTTGTTTCTCCTCTCAACAGATGTGTACCTGCTCACCCTCCCCGATGATCAGAAAGTGAGCGTTACCACAGTAACAGTCGGCCAGAGCGCCGTATTGACGTGTGCCATCACAGGAGAGCGCAGGCCTCCCATACTGTGGAAGAGAAACCATCAATATCTGAACTCCCTGAACCTGGCAGACATCAATGTAAGAGCCGGCATCAGGCCCCCTGATTCTATTGTTTATAGATAGATACACGGGTAGATAAGTGAATGTGTAGTGGAAGCACGGATACATTATATATGAAGGTACATAATGGGATTTAAAGTGGAATGGTTCGAACAAATACAGCGAACGGGTTTGATTATTGTGTTTCCATGTTGTGATGCATCATTAATTCTTAACGACAGAGGAAGAGCTGTACATTTCAGATTATATCTTCCTATATTTCTCTCTCAGCACATTTCTTCTTTATGTCTTTGGCAGTGGCTCAGATTGTCACCACTTTTTATTTGACTGTTGGCGCCGGGCTTGTGTATTGTGAGCCTGACGGTAATCCAGGATGTCAGTTTGTGTTCTTGGTGTTTAGAGACGGCTCGGAGGGACAGGGATTTCAAGAAATGAAAGCAGATGAAGGGGGGGGGGTGGTACCAAAGGGTTTCTGCCTTAGAGGAGGGACCTACTTCTACAACTCTGTGAAAGACTACGTGTGTATTTCTCTGTTTTAATCTGCATGCAGAGCCCTGTGTGTCACTTTCATCCACATCAAACGGAGCAGGGGCACTTAACATGGAGAGGTGCAGAGAAGGCAGACCTCTCCTTCCCCTCACCCCTTTATGCTCTCTGTGTGTCACTGCTGACCAAGATGAGTGTGATACTGCTGTGCATAATTAAGTCAACACTGTCGCAGTAGATAAAGGGAGACCCAGTGAAGCCACTAATGTAACATTAAATGTTGATGACCCTTAAAATGAGTAAGAGGCGCCCAGCTGTCGCCAGTCATCCTTGGCACCATCAACTGGCTCTAAACCAGTGCTTCTGGTTGATGGTGATGTGTGATTCCCTTAAAGGGCGGCGTCCAAACCATTGAGTCATTTCTGATAGCTTTCCTACAATTCTTCAGTCATTTATTTATATAATGTATTATGACTGCTTCTAGGCAACGTATTTTCAGAAAAGATGAATACAAGTGCCGGGTGTAAGGAAAAAGAAAAAGAAAAAAAGTCTGATTATTTTATGAAAACGCTCTCAATATCTTATGGAGGATTTCTAGGAGGAGAAGACAGGTGTGAGGTCTTGTAAGGTCAACACACACTTTGATCTATCTTTCTATTCCACTCCACACAAACTGTTTAGTTCTGTTTTTTTTTTGCACATTCGATAAATCTTGCTTGTGTTTCATCTCTTGATTTTGCCTGAAAACACAAGGCAGAGTTCAGAGGGTGGTCTTTGTCTGTTTCACACACAGTCATCAGTTTCCTGGTATCTAATATCAGATCTTGCTCGGGTGTATTTTAATTTGAATGTCAGCTCAGGGATGAAAGCTTCTGCTGACAAATGCTGTTCAGAATATCTATTGTAGCTAAAGACACTTTGTGTTAAGTTCATTTATACTTGGACTAGTGAAAGCATACTGTATAGACCTGAATAGGACGATTCATCCTTGAACAATAATTTGGTATTACAACTTTGCTTTCACACTTTCTCTGTGGAATCATACAGACTTACTTTTCTCTCCTTTTATTTAGAGGAAATAAAATATGCTGTGTTGGCAATCAATCAAAGCTGGGCCTTTTGTGGTTTGGAACAACCTGGAGAAAACATCCAAATTTGATTTCTCTCCACTGAACCCATAGCACGAGTTATACATCAAAGATGGAGACAGAGCAGAGAGAAGGATGCAACTAACTTTGCATTTTAATTAACCCCCGAACCACTTTGGTACCCTCAGGATCCTCATATCGCCTGGATTCGATGTTGTTGCATAAAATTACCATCCCTCTCTCTGCGGTGCAAGAGGGCATGCTGGGTACATGCCAGTGCATTTTCATGGAGTGAGGCTGTGTTAAACTACTACAGGGACTAATCCATCTCCTCAGTCTGAGAGAACGCTCTGCACTTTGACCCTGGAGGTCTGCCATTGTCAGATTACATTTTTTTTGTTGGTGTCTAGCAAAGCCTGAGTTTACAGCCTCTGCTAGGGCACAGATTACCTCCAGAACCCCAAACGGCACCAGCATGAATCAGCATGGGTCTCCTGTGGCTCGTCAGGAAACTGTGTGCAAGCCACGCAGCACAGAGAGAAATTACCAACGGAGCATTAGCTGCACGCAGACTTAATCCAGATTTATTTTTGGCTCTCAGACTTCCAGTCAATCATTGTTGTCCCTTCCAGACAAGAGAGTGGATTTCGCCCGCACCTGGCATCCACAGACTAATTCTCAATTGCCTCGCAGACACTTTCTGTATAATTGCAGGCTGTTAATATTTGTGAGCATCCACTGCCAGCCTTAATTAGAGTAATATTCCTGTGAGTACACATGGGAGCTTTATGCAGTCTAATCTTGCTAGACCTTCCCATTTTAAAAACGTGGTTATTTTTGAAAATGCCGTGGACATCCAGACTTAGTGATGCGCACATTAATCCCAGTGGTGCGCTTGTATCCTGGAGTTCAATAGAGCCCCTCTACATTTTGACAAAGCAGCTTACCGTAATGCCGTGAAGTTGACAGTTGCTTGCTGTTGCATCATCATCCAAGTCTGTCAGTATTTCAATCCTCCCTGAGTGGCCAAAGAGTGTGTGTGTGTGTGTGTGTGTGTGTGTGTGTGTGTGTGTGTGTGTGTGTGTGTGTGTGTGTGTGTGTGTGTGTGTACGTGTGTGTACTTTTTTTTAAGTGGCTAATTTTTCTCATTATTTTTACTAGTCAGTCAACTTGTTGTGCCTCTATTGATTTGTTTGTTTCTTACGAAGGACCAAAATCTCTGGACACTGTCCTAAAAATGGAAATATTAAAAGTTAGAGCATTTATTTAAAAAACTTCCCTCAACAGGCATAAATATAAGCACGGCTTAATCTTTATTTATCCTTACTTATCTTATCCTTTGGAATATTTGTTTTTATCTGGAATTATGTTTCAGTGAACGTAACATTATCTTTAAATTGCGGGGATATACATGATAGTACTAGTAGCATAATTTCCGCATATGGTCTTGATAAGTGCCATCATGTTGTATACTCAAAGTTGTACTCGTTCTTTGCCATTTCTAGAGGGTTTTGTTGTGAATAAAGATGTGAAAGTGAAACATTATATTGGTAGATAACACATGCATCTTACAGAATGACATTGTCATCTTTTATTATATCTACAACTTCAATCAAGAGGTTTTATTGTATTAGAATTAATCATGTTGATCAGGAGCTAAATACCAAACTCGTGGTTTATTATGTACTACTTATATTCTGTACTATCCTGACAATAGATCTACGTTGAGCTATGTACTGAACTTTGCCTCTAACATCATGCAATTGTGCAACAACACCAACACTGCTGTGACCTTTCTGCTTTAAAATCTATATTTATTCTGCTTTTAATGAACCAAACTTCCTAATGTTTGACCTCTGTTTGACTCCCCAACAGATCCCGTCTCAGGTAGGGTGTATTTGGTTTTTCTTCACAGCCGACTGACATCGCTTCACTCTTTAATTTATTTTCCATTCACTAAAAACCCAACCGATGCATGATGCTGTTATCAGAAATGCACAAGCTGAGGACATCACATCAATTGAACATCTCATGTTTCTACAGTGACTGCATACTGTTCATCCAAAACATGCTAAACCTAACAGAGGAAGGGCGAGGCCTGCTTAATATTTGTGCATTTTAGTTATTGTCAAAACACAGTGTGGAAAACACCAATCAGATCTCTGTGGCACGCAGCATATTCAATCTCCTTCAAGACTGAAATGTTCAAATTATACCAAATCATTTCCTAAACAGCTTGGCGAACGGTGGAGGAACATGTAACCCAGTGCAATAGTGTGGCTCATTCAAGTACACAGAATTGTGTTTGTGATGCTCACAGCATAAATATATCCCTAATACTGTGAGCAATACGTAAACACTGTGAACACGTTCTGTTGGGACTGCTACATTGGTAAAAGTAGTTGCAGTGTGTGTGGGTGACAGTGGGGGCTGTGAATGATTCAGGCAGAGTAATGGGACACATCATTTCCTGACAAAACATGCTGCTGAATCTTTTTTTAAATGTGATTTCTTTAAAGCTGTGAGCACCACACATTACATTCCTCCATTATAATGTGTGGCAGGCGAACTGCTAGCACCTGAGTGTGGTTGAATATCAGAAAACCAGTGACAAATGACTTTTGTAGTTTGTGTCAACCTGACTTATAATGTCAAACCCCTCTGTCATGCTTTGTTACCTCAGTATACTTTATTTTTAAGGAAACATGTTTCTCTCACTGCGAAGGATATTTTCATTCCACTTCTGTCACACAGTTTCAAAAGGCCGTTCTACAGAGGCTATGTTCTGAAATGCCTCGTCAGTGTAGCTGCACTCTGAGGTGGCTCTTTAGTGTCCTTTCAGTTGACCCGGCACTGACAGCTTTATTAATTATAGTTTCTTGAGGGCTATAGCCTATTTGTAAATCCACCTCTACCCGCCCTTGTCTCCCTTCCCTCTGAGTTTCTCCTACACCGGCCTGCTCCTTCTGCAGAGAGCTGGGTGCTGCTGATATAGCTAAAGCACGGGTGGTGAGGTGAGGTGGAGGAATCATGTCGACAGCCCCCGTCGTGGCTCGTTCCACCCTCTGAGTTTCATTTCTACCCCCATTCATTTTTCATTTAAGAAGGTGACACAATATGCTCTCAGCCCAAGGGGCCAAAACGCACCATCGATTTCCCCTCATATTGTGAAGCTCTGATGCTTCACTCAGCTCGAGCCGTTACCGAGCTCTCGGGTTAGATCGCAGCACACCGGGACGAACTGATACACACACCATGTTCCTGTAAACACGACGGAGGGCTCCACAGCTGTCTACAGATATTTAAAAACAAGCTGAACGCCAAGATGTAAACAGAAAGCAAAGATGTGATCAAAATGTTCAACGCCCTTTAATGAGAAAATTCCGTTTTTCTTTAATGAGCTCTCCTGACTTAAGACTGGTAATTAGGCTTGAGTCTTTTTAA